AATATATGAAACTCCTTCAAAATTAAAATAAAGCACAAAAGAAATAAAACAATACAAATTAAACAGAAAACAAGTTTAGGGGGGGGGGGGCTAAAACCCTAAACCTGTGGCGGCCTTTAGTCGCGGTTGGCCAGAAGAACCGCGACTAACGGTCCTCCGCCCCGACGGCCGCCTGGCGCCCACGTGGACGGGCCGTTAGTCGCGGTTCTTAAGCAGCCGCGACTAAAGGTGGGGGGCTTTAGTCGCGCTTATTTGGTCGCGGTTGCGCAACCGCGACTAATGGCAGTTGCGAACCGCGACCAAAGGCCTTTTTTCCACCAGTGTGAACCTGTTGAACCTCCTTACTCTTTGGCAAAACATATTATTTCACCAAAAAATTAGCCTGGATAGGTCATGTTGGTGAGCATGAAGAGAACTAAACATCTCTATAAGGTCGGACTTGATGACATCCCATATTTCCTAATAGAACTCTGTGAGAAAGCCATCTAGACCCAGAGCTCTGTTGTGCTCCATTTGGAATACCGCAGCTCTTAGCTCCACTTCCAAGAAAGGTGTAGTGAGATGTCATTTTCTTCTGCCTTAACGTATGGTATATCATCCGTTTGTGACTCGTCGGTGGCTATATGTCCCTCATCCAGAGTCCCAAATATAGAATTTTAGTAATTTGTGATAAACTCTTTAAGTTCCAATACTTCGATCCAGTCTTAGTCCTGTTGGAGATAATGAATACACGTTTTCCTGTGATGTCCATTGGCAATCATATGGAAATATTGTGTGTTACTATCACCTTATTTAATGAACTAGGCTATAATCTCGGCTAACATTTGATTTCCTCTTCTTGTAAGAGTGGTGTTATCAGCTCATTAGATTGGTCTTTAGTCCCAATCTCTTGTGAAGATAGAGCATGAGTCTCAGCAGTTTTCCCGATGTCTTCAATTGTACTGATGAGATGTTACTTTTATTTTTTATATAAACCGCTGATGTGTTTGGCCCATCAAGTTAGAAATTATCGTGTGGCATGGATTTTAAAATTCCATCTATGGATCGGTGTTCAACCAACATCCAGCCTTTGCCAAATGTTCTTGATCAGATGGGCAAAGCCCTCCTAATGTAACCATCCCAATTCAAATATGAATGGGTCGCATGTAGCCGACAGATTCATAGAATTAGAGTAAAAAATGGAAGTCATGGTCCAAAGGAGACTAGATACGCTCAAGTGCGTGCACAGTTAGGAGTCGGTATTTTAGTTTCCGGGTGGTATCCATGAGCGCATGATCAAGTTTCTCATATTTCGACATCGGGTGATCATTGGCTCAGGTGAACTGGCAACTTGGCAGACTAGCCTCTACTTGGTCAAAACTGGTGACTTGGCATACTTTTTATTTACTCAATATAACTGGTTGATATTACCCAACTTGTGCTCTTTCATTTAAACATGTATGGAGGTAACTAAATTATGCTTAAATGCATGCAATAACTATCAATTCTAGGAATAATGTGTTTAAGCATGTATAGTAGGGTTTGGATCATGGATATTGTGTCTTAGTGTATCTTTTTGGTGATGCCTATTTCTTACATGTTTGTCTATTGCCCCTGCTACTATGTTTGTAGGGATCACAAATAAGCTACTAGAATGGAACAGGGACCTCAGCAAACAAGGTGACTCACGTAACGGAAGTACGCCTCTACATTTTGCAGCATCATGTGGTTTTGATCAAGCGGTCATATCGTTGATAAATGCTGACAAATGTTCAGCATATCGGCCTGACAACAAGGGATCCTTTCCTATACACATAGCAAACAAGGCTTGTGTAGTTCGTGTGTTGTTGGAGAAGTGCCCCGACTGCGCTGAACTAAGGGACGCCCAGGGCAGAACCTTCCTCCATGTTGTCATCTGTGACAAAAAAGACACTCTATTTCGTTATATTTTTGGTCTTTTTCGTGCGAGCCATCAAGTGTGGAGGTTTGCATCGATCATGGATAAGCAGGACAATGAAGGTAACACAGAGTTACACCTTGCTGTCCTGGCTGGAAGAGTACGTACTTTACATTGCTTACTGTGGAACAAGGAAATCCAGCTGAATTTACCAAATAACAATGGGCAAACTGCATTAGATCTTGCACTGAGCAAGAAACCCACTGGTGTTCATTTTGGGGTGGTACGTAAATCTATCTTACTAATTATATTTTTTTAATAATAGAAAGATCTAATCTTTCATTTGGTACATCTCAGTTGTAACAGCTTATCCATATCAACTTATACTATGGCATTGCACGTTTGACAGAAAATTGGCGCCATAGCATGTTAAATGGTGTTAAATTGTACTATGCGTTTGGCGTGATACCCCTACAAATCCTATAGCGCCAACATATCGGGCTATTTAAAACTATATTTACAAGTAATTTCAAACTATATATTATACCCCGCGTGTTGATGCAGGAATTGGTTGCAATTATCTCAGTGAGATATGGTTCTATATAACCTTAGCATTTGGATTAACAATACGAGAATTGAAACTAAAATACAGATAATTTATTGTGTTTTTATTGTATGTTTGTAGAATCCTACGACAATATGAAAAATTAGACTAAACTACATGTAATTCGTTGTGTTTTATTATTGTATAGTTGTCAAATATTTATTGAATACGAGTACCATGCATGGTGCATCTTAAGTATATATATATATATATATATATATATATATACGGTGGCGCTAAACTAAGCGGGAGCGTAAATCGCTTATTCTGCGCTCCGCCTGTGTCGCACGCACCGTTCTGCTTAATCGGCATTATTCTTCCACCTGCTAGTAAAATCTGTAGAATATTATAGTAATAGAATTAATTCGGTTACCATCTGCATGCATCGGTCACCGTCCCGCCATCATTTCTTTTTTTAGATGCATGGCCGTAACAACACATCGTAAACAATCATAAGAAATATAGTAACCCAATAATTTCAGTTACTATCTCCACCCACTAGTTCACGCACCGCCACCTTTTGTCTTTTTTACATCCATGCTAATAATGATACATAGTAATCAACCATAAGAAAGGTAGTAACATATTTAATTTGGTTACTGGCTGAAGATGCAGGTGCATGGTCCCACCACCATTTTTTTCTTTCTATATGCCTCCTTGGAATGGCATATACTCCCTCCGTTCCAAAATAGATGACTCAATTTTGTAATAACTTTAGTATAAAATTAGTATAAAGTTGGGTCATCTATTTTGGAACGGAGGGAGTAGTAATCAACCTTGAGAATTATAGTAGCATAGTAATTGTTCATGAAAAACTTGATAATAGAACAAATTAGGTTACTGCATGTCTACATCGTACGCTTTTATGGACTCTTGTTTCACATGGTAGGAATGGTAACCCAATTAAAACAGTTACCATCCGCATGCATTGGTCCCATCCTTTATTCTCGTTTCCCATGCTAGTAAAAAACCATGATAAATATAGTAACAGGTTTAAATGAATTACGGCCAACCTGCAATGTACTTCGTCTTGCATCCTCGATTCGCACGCTAGTAAAACGCCAGCCAAACATAGTAAATGAATTAAGTTATTTACCATATGCATGCATGTGGCTGCGCTAATTAAAGAATGACGTAACCGATTAGCAAACATGGTGCGCTCCACGGGTCGGAGCGTAGAATAAGCACAATGCGCTCAGGCTCACTTTAGCGCACCTATATATATATATATATATATATATATATATATATATATATATATGCAAATTTAGAATTAGAATCTCAATAAAATCATATAGGTGAAACATATTTGTACATACAAATTACATGTTTAGGGACCTAACGTAAATTTTACCTTTTATATTATGTCCATAGAAAATGCTAGAAATCCCCAATTTTTTGGTCACAACTAAGAAAGAACCTAGGTTTTCTGCTAGTTGACATTTTAAGAATTCAACTTATACATTACAAAAGAGGATATGAGTCCCTATCTTTTTAGCACCACTACATAGGAAGTGCATGCACCAGCAGCCAAAACAAACTTATACACGCTATGATTTCATTTGGGTAGGATTTTTTTAAACCATACAACCATAAAACTCATGCTTCAAAGCTGCTATCCATGAAACATGGGTGTTTTGTGAGTATGATAATAAAATCCGTGGGAAATTTACTCTTTATATACTCAGAACATGGGTTGTTGCAATGATTATTGTTCCTTCATTTTAATGTCGAGTCTCAATTTTTGTCAGGATTCGGGGTATCAGATATACACTCTGCTAGCGGCTGCTGGTGCTAAATATGGTGCTCACCTTAAAGAACACGGTCCTCAACTAAATGAGAAGGAGGAAGCAGAGAAAATCAACGGTTACATACCGACCATTGGCATTGCTGCAGCACTCCTCATAACGGTTTCATTCACATCCGCTTTCTCTGTACCAGGTGGGTACCGAGCCGGTGATGATCAACATAAAGCTGGGACTCCGGTGCTTGCCCAGAACTACTTTTTTTTGGGGTTCATCATGGCCAACAATCTAGCATTGCTTTGCTCTGGCCTTTCCCTTGTCAGCCTCATGTACGCTGGACTGACCATCATCGACCTCAGAATACGTGCGAAAGCATTTATCCTCTCCATCATGTGCCTCAACAGCGCAGTCCGGAGCCTGACAGCCGCATTTTCAGTTCACATATATGCAGTGTTGGCTCAGATTGACCGTACATATGTTGTTGTTACGATGGCGTTTAGCAGTGTCATGCTGCTTGACATTGGTTGGTTTGTGTACATGGCAACTGCGGCGCAATTGGTGCATTTTAATAGGCTTGGTACCAGAGCATGCTTGCGGTTTGCGTTTACAATGGTAGCCACCCTTATGGTGTCTCTCTGGCCATACGCATTAACTATCATTTTCTTGATATATTCTAGAATCTACGGAGTCCACTAAGCCTTGGTAAAGCGGACAATCTTTAAGACAAAATCAATTAATAAAGTTGGCACGTTAATGGTATTGTATTTTGTTCGTAGAGTGCTTAGCAATTTTTCTATATATGTGACCTAGTTTTTGGTCCAAACCTAATTTGTAAGGGTCATCTTGTCGTATGAAGAGTTTGTAGAGTTTAGTACTACATTGGGTGACTCTGTTGATGAGTGTTGTCTCATTATTTTGTTCAGTACTAGCATTCTTGTCATATACTCCCTCCATTCACTTTTGTAAGATGTTCTAACTTTTTTCTGAATCGGAAGTATATAGACAAGTTTTAGTGTGTTTATTCACTCATTTCAGTCTGTATGTAGTCCATATTGATATTTCCAAAACATCTTATAAAAGTGAACGGAGGGAGTACTATTTATCTTCCCTATCTTGTAAGAGGGAGTTGGTGGTTGGCAGTCCTGAAACTGCAAGGTTTAGTCTTGGCCAGTTGATGGTTTTGTTATTTCAAACCGGGCTCGTCTCAAGCATCCCTTCTGCATGATCTGCTCATTCAGTTTGTTTTAGCAATGCTCTTGGTAGCAGGCATGATTGGTGCAGCCTTGCGGCAGTGGACCCCCTAAATCTGCCCCATACTTTCGTGCGCAGTACTAATTGCCTACATTGATTTGTAAATATACATGACTACTGTAGAAACTATAAGAAAGAATGATTTATATCCATGAGAAAATTAATTAATTTCCATGTTGCTCATGCGTTCTTGTACACTTCACTACAAAAACGAGTGAGCAGAGTGAGTACCACAGCAAACAGAACTTGCAGTCAGAAGGCGGGCGACTGCATAGAATGCAAACAGAAGTTGCCGCTGCTAGAGCTCGCTATTAGGAAGGTGTCACCTTGCTATCTGACAGTTAGGTACTTCTCGAGTCCGTGTCTCTCTCGTCTCCCTCGCCCTCCCCATCCACGCCGCCGGCCGCCACCGCCCCCCACTATCCCCTGAGTCCGGCCGGTGACACTCTCTCCGGCGCGACAAAGGGCGCGAGGATCCGCTCGCTCGGGCACTCTGGTCCCGGGATTGGTCTGGGGGTCGTTTTGACTCCAGATCCAATTCGCGATGGGAGGAGGGGCGAGCGGGGGGAGCCCGTCGATCGAAGAGCTGGAGGCACTGCTGCGGGCGGCGAACAAGGCAGAGAAGGCGGTGGTGCGTGCGGTGGAGAAGGCGAAGGAAACCAAGCTGGCTCTAGTCAAGCGAATCATGGCGAGAGTGACGGAAGAGGAGGCGGATCATATGTTCCAATCAGGAGGACATCTCGAGCCAGATCAAGTGCTAGATTGGGCGGCTGTGGAGGCGTCATCCACATCACGCATTCAACGAGCGAGATGGAGACTTTTTCGCCGGGATCCATGGTGAGGAAGGGGAAGGAGGCAGGGGATCAGTTGGAGGTTGTGATTGGCAGTGTATTCATCCACTTGGGAACCAGGTATGGGTCTTCGTGCTGGCCTTCTCCGTTCAAGGCTGCTCCGATGACAAATCAAGCGCGCCGGCAAGCCTCATCCATGGATTCGAGGACCATTGAGGAGCAGGGAGGGAGAAGGGCCCCGCGGGTCAACCTGCGTGATGCGGATAAAGCAGATAGGCAGCAAATCCGTGCTCGCGTGGGGGAGGCGTATTTATAGAAGACGTGTCCACAAAGGGAGGACGAGGAGTTGGTGGATATATATGGGCAGCTTTGGTCCAGCCCCTCACCGAAGAGAGCTAGGGTTCCTGCCGCCGGCGTTGGCTAGTCTAGATCCACAAGGATCTATTTCTAGCCAAAAAATTCACAACAAGTGATTGTTACCCAGCTAGAGAAGCAGTCAAGTATCAACAGCCGAAGAAATTCAGCTTCTCCAAAGATCTGTGGAGAGGGGATCGGGCAGAGCGGCCTACGCTGAGGTGGTGAAAGGCATGGCGGAAATAGGGGAGGCGGTCATCATGGTGGCGGAGGAGGAGTTGGTCGGAGTGACACATCTCGAGCGACAGGTGATCAGTTCAGATCCTCAGCGCAAGAGCAGATGCAGCAGCTGCCGCATCAGTTGAGCGGCATCCACCACCAACCCCTCCTAGGATGCAAGCACACCAAGGTAATTTTGGTCCTATCCAGCAATTCAATGGTCAGGGGGGATGCAAGGGATGCAGCCGTGGCAAGGGGTCCAATTCCCACAGTTTAATCAGTGGCCGCAACAATTCCTCCCTGCAATGCCTATTATACAACAACAACAATAGCACTATGGTCCTCCGCCTGCACAATTCCAGTCTGGATCTGCTCAGTTTCAGGGTTTTGGGGAAGGGCAGTCAAGCACCTTTCAACAGAATCAACAGAACATGCAGCAGAAGAAGAAAACCAAGAGTTTCAACTCCCAGAAGGAACAACAGGGGAAATCAAGTAGTGTTGAGAAAGCTGACAGTAGTCAAAGCAGAAAGGAGGAGGCTGTTATCAACTACGATCAAAAGCTGAAGGATGTGATATGCTACAATTGTGGAGAACCGGCTCATTTTGTTGGGACGTGCCCTATACCAAAGAACTGTATTATTTGTCACAAGGCAGGACATCACATGGACAACTGTCTGGAGTGGTACAAGCCTTAGGCCACTGCACATTACTTTGGAAGTGGAAATGCTGGGCTATGCTTCTTTCACATTGAATCAGAGGGCAAGGATGCTACCAAGTGATTGAACTTAACCAATGTCTGTGTGGCAGTGATTGAGGATGGATCTATCAACACTCAAGAGCTAAAACACAACTTTTCTGAGATCTGGAAGACCAATTGGCCATGGCAAGTGAGACAATTATCAGAGAAGCGTTTCCTGGTCAGATTTCCACCTCATAAAAAAGTTAAGGACTTGGTTGAGCTCCCATCTATCACCCTCAAGAAGAAAGGGGTTGTTGTTTCTTTTGATAAGTGGGATGGTGAGGAAGTGGCATATGCTGAGCTGCAGGAAGTGTGGGTCACTATGATGGCGATTCCAATTAACAAGCTCTCATGGAAAGTAATATCCCAGATTGCTTACATACTGGGAATACTTGTCAATGTGGACTGGCATGAAATCTTCAGAAGCTTTTATGAAAAAGGTAGAGTGTAGATTGAAGTGAGAGATGTTTCCAAAATCCCAACTAAAAGGCTAGTAGAGATTGATAAGGAGCTGTTCCTCATTTCTTTTCTGGTTGACACTGCACCCAACTTGGAGGCTGCTGCCCACAATGATGAAGGGCCAGAAAAATCAGATGAAGATCTGCTGGAAGGAGATCCAAACAAATATCTACATATGCAAGGGACTAAGGACATGGAGACTGATAGGGATAAGAACAAAAAAGGATCTGCTAAAGGTCCTACTCAAAACACCCAAAACTCTCAAAGAGCCCCATCACACTCAAGAACCCCTATGGAGATGATGAATTCTCTGGAAAAAAGGGTGTAGAGTGTGATACAAGATATGAAGACTGATGGAGTTGTCAAAAAAAGCATTCAAAGGAGTGTATCTGGGGAGAACATTAGTGTACGGCTGATGGATCAATTCAATGAGTAATCTGATGAAGAATAAGTGGCAGAGATAACATCCCAGCAAGACACTCAAGGTGGACAAGCAAAGAATTGGGGCCCTGTGGTGGCGCCCAGGATGAGCACCAGAATCAAAAAAGATGGGAAGACAACTATTCATAGAGCTGAGGATCTCAAGAAGAAGAAAGACCTGGAGATGCCTAAAGGTAATACAAATAGTAACTCCTTTTCTACATTTAATGATGAGGTGTTATTATCAAAAGCCAGAAAGGCTGGTCTAAATTTAGGTGATGATGTAGAAACTATTAATCAAAATATTCAGGCCATTAGGCTGATTGAGAATGATAGAATTGCTAGTTTTAAGGATTCACACCCTGAATGTTTTCTCCCTGCTAACTTAGATATTAGTTTTGAGGGACATGATAAAGAAACATCACCAGCTGTAGGACCTAGTTGTGCTCGCATTAGTGACACAACAGGTAATATCCCTACTTGGGCTGAGGTGGTGTCAGGTAAGAAGAGTAGCTGTAGAAAACTGGAATTTAATCATGGTAGTAGGACTGATATGGAATGTTAGGGGGCTTAACAAGCCTGATAAACTAAGTGCAGTGGGTAAACTCATTAGAGACACCCATGCTGACTTGGTAGGGTTTTCTGAATCTTAGAAGGAAGATTTTACTAGTTATCAACTTAAGACTTTAGACCCTAGGGAGGAATTCACCTGTAATTGGATGCCAGCTATTGGTACAGCAGGAGGTATTTTGGCAGGTATCAACCAATATGATTTTGAGATTATTAATGTAGATACCCTGCAGTTCTCTGTTGCTTGTTTGATTAAAAATAAGAGAGATGACAGTATATGGAGATTTGTAGCAGTTTATGGGGCTGCATATGATAATCTTATAGAATTTATAAATGAGCTCCATAATACTATGGAGGCCTGGTTGGGTCCTACTATTATTGGTGGTGACTTCAACCTTGTAAGAAGTAGTGATGAGAAAAGCACTGGAGCTGTGAATCTACAGTGGGTGACTTTATTCAATGACTGGGTCAATAAATATGCCCTGATTGAGCTAAAAAAAACTATACTAGGAAGTATACTTGGGCCAACAACCAGGATAATCTAGTGATGGCTAACATTGATAAGGTGTTTATTTCCACATGTTGGGAAAGCTTGTACCCAGCTGTGCAGCTCAAAGCCCTTCCTAGGGTGGGTAGTGATCAAACCCCCTAGTTTTTGACACTAGAGCTATTAAACCACCTAAGGATAAACAATTTAGGTTTGAGAAGTGGTGGCTCTAGGTGGAGGGTTTTGTGGAGTTGGTTAAAAAGACTTGGAACAAACCTTGTTCTATTGTGGACCCTATGGACAGATGGCAGTTCAAAATTAGAGTGCTTAGAAGGGTGTGTAAAGGGTGGAATGCCAATTATGAGGCTTCAAAAAATAGGAATAAGCAACAGTTAGTTGCTGAGTA